GAGACGTCCCACAACAAGGTGGATCGACGACCTCATAAAGGTAGCAGGAAGGCGCTAGATACAGGCCGCTACCAACCGTGCGATGTGGAAGTCATTGGAGGAGGCCTATGTTCAGCAGTGGACGTCCTATGGCTGAAATGATGATGATGATGATGAATACAATAATTCTTACCGTAATACCGAATACGTTACGTTTTAGAAACAGACATTTAGTCTCCACAGCAGTATTATATGGCCCACTCACCTCTCTCTAATTTTCCAGAGGCAAATGGAGGATTTGGCCCACAAAAACATCATATCGGTGTTATTGTGGCAGGTAGATAGGCAATTAGGCAACACCAAAACCCTCGCAAGCTGTTATCAAAGAGAAAAAACATCTTTCTGTGAAGCTCCTCTACTAACGCAAATAATTTCATTTCTTAGGGCTGTCAACTCGGCTGATATTACTCTGCATAACGAATTATGATCTTGATTTTAGTACAATTGTAGGTATCGTTTTTGTAACCAAAAAGTAAGATTATACCGTAGTTACCCTTTTCTTACTATAAGGTAATAAGATACATTATAGAGGCGCAGTAAATCTTTCAATCTAATAGTCCGCAGATTCGATCCTTACCTTATTCATTTATAAAACGATAATAACTTATGTCTCGGTATAATATTTTCAACTTATTGAATTAAGGTTACTTACTTAGCCAGACATTTTAAGTGACGTCTAAATCGACTTTGACGATTTTTGTGTTCATATGACATCCATTGATTCTTTAAATTCGTAATATGTAACTAGACCCCCTACAGAAAGCCCTCCCCTTCATTCAATATGACCTACAAACCCAAATCAATTTGCTACTAGTTTTGGCAGCCCTAGCGTACTAAGAAAATTCTCCCCCTAGCCCTTGAGTAACGAACTGTGGCAGATCCCATTAGAGATAACGCCAGTCACCGAACAACGCCCGAGTCGGCACGCACCCTTACAATGCTCGTACCGTAAACAATTCCGTTTCAATACTAAACTGTGCCCGCGACTCTGCTTGAGTGGATTATTTTTAAAGAATATTTGTAACTAGCTTTTGGCCGCGGCTTCACCCACGTGAAATTTCGTTTCTCACAGATCGTCATAAATTATCCCAACTAATATTATAAATGCGAAAGTAACTCTGTCTGTCTGTCTGTCTGTCTGTCTGTCTGTCTGTCTGTCTGTCTGTCTGTCTGTCTGTCTGTCTGTTACGCTTTCCCGCTTAAACCTCGCAACCGATTTTGATGAAATTTGGCATAGAGATAGTTTGAGTCCCGGGAAAGAACATAGGATAGTTTTTATCCCGGTTTTTGAAACAGGGACGCGCGCGATAAAGTTTTTCTGTGACAGACAAAATTCCACGCGGGCGAAGCCGCGGGCGGAAAGCTAGTAGCCTATATGTTATTCTGGGTTATAAACAATAATAATGTAAAGTTTCATCAAATCCGTTTAGTAGTTTTTGCGTGAAAGAGTAACAAACATCCAGACATCCAGACGTCCAAACTTTCGTATTTAAGTGTAATATTAGTAGGATATATATATATGTATATATCTCGAAATCACCAACCGGCCATTGTGAAAATCATTGGGGGAGGCCTATGTTCAGCAGTGGACGTGGGCTGAAATGATGATGAGGATGATAATTATCTCGAAATCTCAGACACAACAAGTGCTAGGCTAGGAGTCTCAGATTTTTCATGGGGGTTCCTTTTAGAACGTAGGTGCTCACTAAGACGGGATTTTGCAAAATTCAACCTCTAAGGGGGTAAAACGGGATCCACGTGTAAGAAGTCACGGGCGGCCGCTAGTTAACCAATGAGGGTTTTCGCGAATGAAAGATCCGCTAGATGGCGGGATGTGGATGTGGGGTCTGACTGCTTCGTGATTGGTGGAATTTGACATATCTGTCAAAAATAACCAATCATGCAGCATTTGGACCATTAATATGCTGTTATGAAGTAACTGCTCTATTTCTGTGAAACCCAATGGGTTAATGAGAATATTTAAGTTTGCTGCCACCCATGGGTCTAATTTAATACCTTTTAAATTAGACTAAAAATTGGTCAGTGTTTATTTAAGCTTATATTTTCGACAAACTGCAATACCTACGCTACGTTAAATTATCTCTAATAATTATAAAAATAACAAAAAAAATTGATTAAAAAATTTAAAACTCCAGAAACTCAGGTTTAATGTAAGGAGTCGACTTACCTATCTTATCTTATCTTATTTAGGGCCGCGCATGAGTGCAGAGCACGTCGACCCATTGGGATCTTTTTGCTTCGAGAGAAAGAGTCGACTTAATTACGTAATTAATTTTAAAGTTGTTAAGTTATGTGAGATACAGGCCAAGAGCTTCCTCGTTGTAGTTAAAAAAAACATACAGAACCCTCTAGGAAAGTAAACAGCCAGTACACATAATGGTTTTGCAACAACTCTCAAGGAACCCCCTGCACATTATTCTCCAAAACTCGACGGTAGTGCCTGTCGATCCGTCAGAAGGACCTCAAGGACGGCCAAGAGCGAATCGATGGGACAATTTATTTCCCGCTTTGCAATTTTCCCCGGGTCTGGTTGTATTGATGCTTTTGAAAAAGCTAAAATTACATGCTTTTATCGATCGATGAATAATTCAAAACTTTTTGCTGCTAGGAAAAAGCCAAAGGGCCTGTGAAAAGTCACAGCCTAGTCTAATAAACATCCAAAATTACTTTTACCGTAATACTCGTAGGTCATCTTGACAAAAATTTTCGGGTCCTAAGAAGAAGTGATGATAGAAACATATTTCCAACTGCCTTTTATTTAATTTAGGACACACAATTTATTTACTAGACTTGTAGAAAGTACGAGCTATTATGCAGTTAAAAGCTGCCTACACTCTTGTGATTATGTTTTCATAAAGTATTGAAGGCACTGCGAACGAAATACAAAGTCCTCTTCACCGTAATTTTAGCTCACTACTAAAAGAGCTAGAACCAAGCTTTCCCGGCACGATCTCCATTTTTTAAGGAAATGTATTAAAACAGTGATCAACTTCTAAATTTTGGCAAAACATCTTTGTATTCCTAGTTTTTTTGCCACTACACATCTAATACACTTAAAGAACCACAAATAATTTTCCTCTACCTGACGTCCTCTCGGACCCTTTCAAGGTATTGGAACTGGAGACATGTGAGGCATCATTGACATTTACAACTGACTGTAAATAAAGTGGACGGACGCTGAATGTTACGTAAACAATTGAAAGTGCATTTGGAAAATGGAGTCTGAGCCTTTTGGAGATTGAAGGACTTGGAACTTAGACTATGGAATACGCCAAAGGAAAATCTGATAATTGATTTTCTAGGGAGAAGGTCAAAACATATCCATGATACAAATAACTTCAAAAATCGAACTGCCTAAGGCGGGAATTGAACCCACGACCTTTCGCTTGCCGGGCGACTGCCCCATTTATAATTTAGTTTGAGAAGCGACTCTTACTCGCTAAGAAATTTTAATAACATGTCCATGAAGTTGGAAAGGCTTTGAAGCCATTTAATTCACAATATCAACATAACTAGAAAATAAAATACCTAATAAGTAATTTTGGCTTTCATGTCGGTATTTCTAGTTAGGAGGATAAATGACTCTACAAAATGTCTTTAGTTTAAGAACGCCTGCATAACTTTGCTGGTCAAATACACTGCTGTACGACTTTATAGCGAATTTTCTTCTTTCTTGTATTAATAAGGTGTTGAAGGTCGCAAGACCTGGATGCAGCCAGCTCAGGACCGGTCTGTTCTGGGCCTAAGATTTAATATCGGTGCTTGTTCTAAACTCAAAATATAATATTTGCTTATATTCGATATTCCATCGGGTATCATCAAGCCAAACCAATATTATTATTTGTCAAAATGTGTGTCGATCTAATAACTCACACACTGATATCAATAATCCCATATCAGTAATTCCTATCACCTATCCCGCAGGATTATTCCCGTCGCCGAAGGGAAAACTTGGCAACAAATTGAGTAGTAACGTTATCCGATTGATCGTGATATAACTTTGGATTAAGAAGTACGTGCCTATAGATACTTTGTATGTAATACCTTAGAATAATATCCACAAAACTTTGAAAAGTACTTTGTCAAGGATTCTAGTTTGTCTATCACATACTTGTAGGATCAAATTGAATACTTACAGACGAATAAATTTGTAAGTATAGTGGTTTAGGGCCTTTTACAAACGTCAGAGATTTTTAAACTTCATTTAAAGCTTTCATTCAAATGGCACAATAATAAATTTTATATTCATCAGAAATAAGGTACAATTCTAATGGTGATTTTTTTTCATATCTGTCCAGTTGTTTCAGTGCCTATTCAATACAAACAATCAAATCTTTTCTCTTTGTAATATTGGTGTAGATAATTTTATTCCCCAGACTAACTAGACCTTAAAGACCATCTGACTTACTAAGGAACATTAGCTCTCGGTGATAATAATACACATATTACATAGACATACATCCTACTTATAATATTATAATGTAAATGTCTGGATGTTTGTTACCATTTCACGTAAAAACTACAGAACGGATTTTGTTGAAACTTTACAGTATTATTGTTTGTAGCCCAGATTAACATATAGGCTATAATTTATGCCGATCTGTGACACTAAATTTCACGCGGGTGAAGCCGCGGGCAAAAGCTGTTATCTATAAAACACTAGCGGCCGCCTGCGACTTCGTACGCATGGATCCCGTTTTACCCCCTTTTCCCGAATTTTCTTTGCTATAAACCTCACGGAGCCCGAGACCTTTCCAACGAATGCAAAACCGTGGAAATCGGTTCGTGCGTTCTGGAGTTATAGCGTCAGGGAGGAAAACCCGACTTATTTTTATATAGTAGATGACTAGAGACTAAACGGTGTATTTCCCTCCATGTTTCCTTCGTTATTAGTCATGTTCTCACATAATTCACAGCATTTGTAAAACTACGCGCAAAATATTATTACTTAGTTTCTTATCAATCGACCAAGACGGTTGAGATAGTGAGGTCAAAATGTCGGTCTCCTAAATAATATGTTTACTTATAATTTTTCGTAAAACACGCGTAATTCGGGTGCAAATAGTCGTGTGTTAGAACTGCCTCCAAAATGTGGTTAAAAGTGATATTGCTTTCCGTTTTCGGATTCACCAGCTCGGTAATTATAATTTTTTTGTTGCATTTATAATTGATTATGTAATTTTAAAAGTTATATAATACCTACTGGAAAACATTATGGTTACATTTGTCTGTTTAAATAAAAGAATCGTTAACGTAGATTTCAATTTAAAAACATAGTGTTTAACTCGTAATGTCCACCCACTTATTCGGGTCAAGAAAATTTGCGTTTTCTTGTTCCCAAACACAAAAATAAGTCTCATGTATAAGCCTCGTAAGTAGATGTATGTGTTAATAATAAATAAGGGGCTCTATATCATTAACCAGGCCAGAAAACATAGTGTGGGCAGGCCTCCCTTTAGGTGGACCGACGATCTAGTGAACGTCGCGGAAAGACCTGGATACGGACAGCGCAGGACCTCTGCTAAATAAGACGGAGATTGGTGGATTTTTAGCGGGAAGGCCCCTCCCTTCTGGAGGGGAGAGCCCCACATAACCCGTCGCCTTACCACAGCGGCGGGTATGCAACTCAATGCATTTTTACCACCTAAAAAAAAGGACCGGCCGTAGTAGAAATCCTTAGAGGAGGCATTTGTCTGTCTGAAATAACATACAAACTCCAATTTCAACCATGTGGTTGCTTTTTCCACAGCTGACCACCTCATTCGACCTGGGCGGGGTGCTATCAGGAAACCGTATGGCAGGAGTTCCCCTGGGCCGTTCCCTGGGCAACGGGGAGCTGGACGTGGAGGGCATATGCACAGCGCCCGGCGTCGCCTGCGCGAATTGTACCCTGGCTGTCACTTGTGTACCCCTGCCTGTGGGGTACTTGAAGGTATGATATGGTTGAACTATAATTTGGTACTTTTAATTCGATTGCGTTGCGATAAACTGTTAATATTATAGGGCACTTGATTCACCTTGATGCAAAACGATATTTTGTACATAATATACAGAGATAAAGAATCCTGAAATCGATTAACTTGTCTTTAGATACAGTGCACTCAAAATAGGCGTAAACTGGACACTACTCAATCATGAATAAAAGGGTATTAGAATCAATAAGTTTTCAAGGCAAAAATGAGCCATATCCTTGCTCTAATAGTAATAATAATATAAGTAATATTATTGACAGCTAATAATAAAGTAACTAGAACGTCGTAGATACCAGATATTGAGTAAAAGTTCTGGGCTATAAAATATGTGACGCCTTTCTAAATTATCTCTTGACTATCGTAAATGAGTAAGTTTGCTTTTCGTAAACAGAAAGGCACCTTTTGAGACTTATTTTATCAACAAAATATCACAAAATAATTATTTTCTGAATGACTAAGTACTTACATAGAAATCTAGTCTATACTCACTAGTATTTTATATCTTATCTACGGCTTACGAAGGAAACTTTCCATTAATTTCAGGTGCCTCTACAATCCTGCAATAATGGTCAAACCTGCGACGCTCGCCTCGGCCAGTGCTCGGACACGCCAGTGCCAGAGTGCCAGAAGGACAGTCAGGAGTACGAACATACCTGTGAACAAGTAAGTATTTTCTTAAAACTTTATCGCTTTAATCTAAGGGAAGTCGAACCTTAACTTCGAACTCCTCCTATGTTCTTCTGATTAATTTCGTTGCGGGTCCAATGATAGTTTAATTTTCCCCCGGGACAAACTTGACCTTCACTGCTTAGGTTTTTATTGGCGGTCAAGCTGTAGATCCTGGCTATACAGGAGTTGCAGCGGTGGTTTTTTTTTCTTCTACGCATCAGCACAATACAGTAGAGAGCAGAAGATATCTACTTTATTACAATACATAAGATACCACAGAGGAAGGCACATTTAGCTAAACAAGCTCTGTAAAATCTCTACTTATTTTGGGGCTAGGTAATTGTTGTTATAGTTGGAGGAAAAAGAACCAATCATAGGAGTCGAAATAGTCGTCATGACCGAAATCAGTTCGATACATCTTCATCATCATCAGTGTACCTACCATGAGTTTACGTTAGGTATGCTCGCTAGCGAGTACGTCAAAAATCTCTATGAATATTTTGTTTCTTGAAAGTAGCCGCTAGGGGCGCTGCACATTATGTCATACAATTAATGTCATTTTTTTACGTAGTCGCTAGCGAGCACATCTAACGTAAACTCATGGTAAGCACACAGGTGGAAAAAACGTTATAAGAACAAAAAAAGATAAATTATGCTTTCATTTAAATTGAGTCCGGCCGGTCAATCAAAGTAGCAATGCCATCAAACTTTTCAGTAAGTTATACGAGTAGGACAATTTAGAAAGGGACAACTTATCACACTTCTTGTCACTCGCCAATGCCATGCTTCAAATTTTTAATGCATTTCTATAGTATTTCACACACCTCTTCCATACATCTATCCATTCCTCATTACGTCTATTCCCATCCAAACCAGTCCATTGTATCTAAACCACAAACAAGAGCCGCGGAAGTAACAACTGATATGTCAACAGACTCTTTAGAGTCTCTAAATGCTAATAGCATTGGAAACAATAACAGCGAGAGACGCCGCGCGTGAAGATCTGTATCGGAAAGGTCAAGGAGCCAGTAAATGCACTTTGGTTGTAGTGGAAGAAGATGGAGTAGGTTTACCGCTCAAACGTAGTCATAATATAAGTGAACTTTTAGGCTTTTAAAAAGCAATTTTACTCGTCCCTGTCCCAGTAGTACTCCAATATTTTAACCCTACCACTGCTTCAGGACAAAAAAATAGCTAGGCTAGTATTAAGAAGAAGCAAGAATCACAGTAGATGATTGAACTTAGCAAGGTTTTGGTATTTAAACTTTTCCAGGTCCTGAAAGTTGAAAACAATCTATGACAGACGGCGAGGGCAGAAGCTAGTTTTTATAAAAATAAAATCTATTTGTATCTTTCACTTGTCACAGCATCGTATAGTGATAGAGTCATTTATCTCGCAATCATCTTGCAAGTATCAGAAGAATCTAACTCAACTTTTTAATGACATATGTACCGGCTGACACGTAGTCCGTTCGTCGTTTCAGCCAAATGATATCCACTGCTGGACAAAGGCCTCCCCCAAGGTTTTCCATAATGAACGGTCCTGCAAATACCTACTCGTAATTTCAAAAATATATTTACCAAACCTTAATAGCCGAGCAATATAATCGCTCTTACTGCTTGTGACTACGTTGTTCTTGAATCTGATACGGGAGGAGGTCTCTTCCTGAATTAACCGATTGTAACTGTACCGTGGACTGTGTTAGCGCGATGTTTAGAAATAGACAACCTGATATTCGAAATGAAACGGTTTTTTGTCTGGTCATAACAGATTTCTTTTTATTTTGGGGCTAAAGGCTTGTTCACGCACGCGCGGACTTAGAAGCTAGATGTGAACTCATATCCACGTACAATGAAAAATTCGTAATTTTTATTTAGACAGCACTTTTACACGTCGGTGTTGAAAAAAGTGGGGGGAAAAACTCAGTCACCTTTGCCAATAATTAAAATCACCATCATCATTTGGTCTCCATTACAAGCCGATGACCTATTCTATTTTACAAGAGGCAAATGGAGGATGAAGCCTACACTTTAATTCAGAAACGCCTAACGTCTGCTCTGCATTTTAAATCACATTTGTTTTCATATGAAGTATTAAGCTAGTCCGCTATAATTTTATGTTTAAGCTTGAAGTCAGTAACAAACTTTAAATCGAAACATGCTTATGAAGATAATGTCTATTCAATCTTGAAGACAGCGAGCGTCTGGCAGCGCTGAGTGCATTTGCATTCAAATAAGAACAAACTTCGTTTAGTAGAAATCCACCCATTCTCATTAGTAATAAAAAGTTTACAATTTATTTGGAAATCCAAACTAAAGCGTGGCGTCTTTGAAAGACTTGAACACTAGCTGTGCCCGCGACTTCGTACGCGTGATAACCCGTTTTCGCAACATTTTTCATTTTTGATCTGCACCTATTACTTGTAGCGTGATGGATAGCCTTCCTCAATAAATGGGCTATCTAAAACTGAAAGAATTTTTCAAATCGGACTGGTGGTTCCTATAATTAGCGTTCAAGTGAACAAACAAACAAACAAACTCTTCAGCTTTATAATATTAGTATAGATTTTGTGTGATGACCCCGAACAGGGATCATTGTCCTCCGCTTTTTACATAGCTATGTAAAGGGTGGATTCCACCCATTCCAAGTAAAGCAGCTCTGTATCTTAGCCTTTTAAGAGCGATCTTTCTTGAAATAGTCGACCGTCTGCTTCCAATGTCGCTTACAGACTGAAACAGTACTTCTTGGGTTTGAGCATAAACATTTTTGTGTCTTGGCCTCTCCACAGGCTTACGTTTTAGTCAACTTCTAAACGAACTATCTTCATTTATTTGCTTTTAAAGTCGCTAGTTGCTTTTGAAGCTCAAGTAGATGCTTTGAAGCTCAGTAGATGCAACTTTATGATTGTGATTATCATTATTTAGCTGACCATATTTAGTGCCATTCATCACAAGTACTCCGGAAAGTGCCCAAAAAGTGGGTCACTCACATCCCTTGATATGTCATTAATAACAAACATTAGGGTTTGATGACATCTGACAGCAAGGTTGCCTTCTATTTGTCTTCCCTCCCCATAAATAGTGCGACCCTGCAAAGTGACTTCATTGTCAATTCTTCATTGTTTAATCCGATGTTCAATTGTTTATTCAATACAACTAGGGACTGGAATTTGTTGCTTGCTACTATCTTTCCCGAGCACTATAATCCGGGCCTTTTCAAGGCGAGAGTGAATAAGCACTAGGGCAGAACCATCCTAGACAGCATCTCACTTAACATCAGGTGCGTTTGCGGTCAAATACCTGCCTTGTTCTGCATAAAAAAAGTAGAATTTATTATGTATGGTCACAGCCTAACTTCTTTAAAATAAAAATAGCACAGAGGAATATGATCGTATTGACAAATTAATGGACTGTTTTCCATTGTCTTCTCTATTTCACATATTATCCAGCTGTAAATCGTGTGAAATATCAAGATTTGAGATTAGTACAATTGTATTATCCTCATTGTTTTCAGCAAACTAATTTGGTTGGCCGTTATTATTAAGTTTTAATTACTGCAGATAATAAGATATGCTTGGATGCAATTGTCTTATCAAACTGAGACTACTTATTAGTGCTTTCTTAAAAATATTGCTGATAATCCAAAGATCATCATCGTCATCATTTCAGCCACAATATGTCCACTGCTGAACATAGGCCTCCCCCAATGATTTTCACATCTCCCGGTTGGTAGCGGCCTGCATTCAGCGCCTTCCTACTACTTTTATGAGGTCATCGGTCCACCTTGTGAGTGGATCCAAGGATGAAATATTTGCTTAAATATTATTAGTGTTCTTTTATGGCTTTATTTCTCCGGACAGTGACCTTTTAACCACAAAATGCAAGATTTTTGAGAGAGTCGAAAACTTGCCGGACCAGACCAAACTCTATCATCAACAGATCAAAGAAAACTTTAAAAATAAAGCTGCCGTTTTTAATGTTAAAGAATCTGGCACATTGGATGCGGTCTGCGGTCAGGGAAAAGTAATCATACATATTCTGCATTCACGTTGACCTGACCGCAGAGCCTATCCAGGACAGATCCTCAAATTAATATTTCCGTCATCAGGTGGGCATATTCCCGGACGCGCACGACTGCAGGAAGTTCCATCTATGCTCTCCGCCTGAGGGTTCGCCCTTCGGTAGACCGGCAGACCACAGGACTGCGTTGTGTCCACGACACTTCGGGTACGATCCCCGAACGGCACAGTGCTCGGTAAGTTAACTTAATAATTACATTCAATAAAAGAAAGAAGACTAATGAGTCTGGGGTATAGAAGAAATGTTTTCTTGAGAAAACTACGTTTTCTGGACGTATCAATCGGGACCACACTGACTATGTACAGTAAACATCGAATGGTTCGTGACACCGAAAGTAGCCAAAAAGTTCGCATAACATCTTTGTTTCGCAACACATTTCAATTTGTTACAATCGGAATAAGGTTATGCAGTCAAGTTTTTTTTTTGCCACTTTGGGTGTCACGAACTTTTTGACGCTGACTGTACAATTTACTATTTACCTTCTACGTAACGATGTAAAAGCAAGAAGGAAACATAATCATTCAATTTAGTTATTTTTATCATTGCAACTACCATCATTACTTCCTAAAGCTCCATTGATTCTTGTATTCAACTCTCCAAAAATTAAACTTTCCAGGTGAAACTAGAAAAGGGGCAATGTAGCGAGAAACCTGTGCCAGACTGTCTCTTCGTGGGCCAGAACGGACCCCTGCCATCCAGCCCAAACCACTACTATGTCTGCCTACTGAAAAAGGACCAACTTTACCCCCAGGTAAGTAAGTGTACCGAAAGCCTAAGCCACCTTGATAATTCTATAGGTAGCACTGATCTTTCACTTTCTTAACTGGTTGGGTTTTTATCAGCGGTCAAGCTGTAGATCCTGGCTACACAAGAGTTGCAGTGGGGGAATGAGAGGTGGGAAGTCCCGTTTCTTAATATTGTATGTAAATATTTAGATCATCATCATCATCATTTCAGCCATAGGACGTTCACTGCTGAACATAGGCCTCCCCCAATGCTTTCCATGTTGATCGAATATTTAGATACTATGAGTCAATAATATTAAATTAAATTGTTAATTTTAGGGTCCTAAATCACTATGCACATAATTTTAGATATCCTTGTCCAAATATGACTTGTGGGTTTCTCGAAAACACTGAGTCATAATTATCGTGTTATGTTAGTTATAACATTGTTTATGAAACTATTCCATTTGGTCAACAATGTCTTATAGCTCACTTTCCGATTAGTCATATTTCCTACTACATACTATCACTTGATCCTGAATTGCATAGTGACTGAGCTTCTTGATGTTTTTTCATATCACTAACCCACACTATTTTCACGAGATTACACAATGTACTGGAGCTTGTAAAACGTATTTATTTATTTATTTATGTATTACAAAATAAATCACAAATAAATATAAACGCATGATTGAAATAACCCCCAGGTGTTCCTCTGTCCCCACGGCTGGTACTATTGGAGCGAGTTCTGTCACCCTGAACCAAAAGTTGATGAAAGCACAACTCCTGGTGGCCTCACCGATTTACGAATTGCTGCAACAGAAGAAATTCCTACAACTACAGAAGTAAAGAAAGAAGTCAAAGAAGCTAAAGAAGTCAAAGATGAAGCTATTCCCAGTTGGATAGACACTTTCTTCTCTACAGAAAAGGCTACGACTTACAAAGCTGACGCGTTCCTAGCTGATAAGTATGACTTAATGAACTATGAAAGTACGGACGAACTGATGCCACCTTCCTACGATTTTGGGAACGTGTATGAAAGAAGTGAAGAAGAATTTTGGTAAGATTTTATATCTGAAAAACAACTCACATTGGTTCTTGATAAAGTAAGATAGCAATTTGACATAAAATATAACGTAAATATCTAACAAATAAAGGTCGCTGATTACCGACAAATTCATCTGCCAGACATTTATCTATCCTGTAAGACCAAAAGTTTGGTTTATCTGGTAGATAAGTTCATAATAAGCTACCAACCCAGTACTTTTTAAGGAATCGGTGAAACTAGCTATAAGCTTGACAGAAAATTTTAACCGACTTCAAAAAAGGAGGAAGTTCTCAATTCGAGTGTATGTTTTTTTTTTGTAAGTTACCGCAGAACTCCGTCAATTACGAACCGATTTCCAATTTTTTTTTGTTCGATAGGGTATACTCCCGAGGTGATCCCATTGTCACCAAGTCAGGGTCTGATGAAGGGATCCTAAGGAAATCGAGGGCAATCCTCAAATTTTATCGGCACGTACCTTTATCGTGTTTGGAGTAAAAAGATTCTGAGGGTTTTATGGAATTATAAATGAATGCATAAAAGATATAGATAGAAATAGTACCTGCTAGAACATACATTGTAATTTTTATTAATTTTAATACAAATAAAGTGCCATTACAGCCAGTCTTTTGTATTATTATTTTTTATCCTCAGTTATGTTTTTGACATCTATCTACTATAGCAAGTCGTCAGTTTTGTGATACATAGGACATTTTTATCCTCTACTCAGGATAGCCAGGATAACCCACTGAAAACCTTAGCAATAATAGCAAAGACTTAAAGAAGTTTAGTTCGATGTACTAGACTAAAGAATGATTGTAAAATTCTATAGAATACTAAAGAAGAATGATGTAAAATTCTTAATTCTGTTAACTTATGAAAAGACTGTTAATTTTCTAGTGAAAGAACGAACGACTAAAATAGTACCTTTTCTCCTTAAACGTCATGTACAGGCAACAGCATTTTAGATGTCAGAGATACATGATGTCGTGCCCTGCGTGCCCAAACAACTGCACGCAGGAAGATTTAATGAAGGCTACTGACAACGCCATTCTTGTGGCGAAGTTTTTGGCTGACGCTGTGTAGGTTTGTTGTCGACAAGAAGAAGAAGCATATAAAATTATTCCTTTCTGCTCCAAAATAGCACCTATTAGAACAACACAAGATAGGTACCACAGTATTTAACTTGATGTACAGTCAGCGTCAAGTAGTTCGTGGCATCCAAAGTTGCCAAAAATACGCAACGTGTCTTTCTAACCATTGGAATAAGGTTGTGTTGTATTTCGGAGGTGGATCGTCATCATAAAGGTAGCAGGAAGGCGCTGGATGCAGGCCGCTACCAACCGGTTATTATGGATATCATTGGGGGAGGTATATGTTCAGCAGTGGGCGTCTTATGGCTGAAATGATGCTGTTTTTGGCCACTTTGGCTATCACGAACTATTTGACGCTGACTGTACCATGGTACACAACAATAATTAGGAAAACTCGTCTTAGTTATCTGAACGCTCGTCTCCACCATTGAGTCGGGGACAATCGCGACGACCCGCCGGCAACCTTTGTACAGCGCACAAAGACGGGCTTATCGCTGCGATCTCTACCAGGCGAGGTGTGGGGCAAGTTCAGAGATGGTAGCGTAAATAATAAATTGGGACTTTTATCTACACACATCAATTAGCGCTCCTGCACACGACGCCGACGCCGCGCCGCCGGCGAAATTATGCTTTGATGGCGCGGTGGTGGCGCGGTGGAGGCGTCGTGTGCAAGAGCGCTTAAAGTGCACTAAGCCTCTGAGATTCATATTGAAGTTTTTTGCATTGAAGTCTTCAATCAGCTTCTTGGAGATAGGGAAGAACATAACTTATCAGTTATACGGTATAACTTATACCTTCACTTAGAACAAACTTGACCTTAACTGGTTGAGTTTTTATGGTGGTCAATCTTAGATAATAGTTCCACAGGTGTAGCAGCGATGGAAACAAGAGTTGGGATAAATCCCCTAACATTGTCTGTACCTACCTTATGTTGTAGGAAGCTAAGGCCAAGTTGCACCACCTTATTTTAACCGTAACAATAACACTAAACGGTGCTATATGTATGGAGATTAACAGATTTTTGACGTTTGACAAAGTTAAAGAACCAGAAAGCGCAGCGTACCCACCCACAAGGTGGACCGACGACCTCATAAAGGTAGGGGGAAGGCGCTGGATGCAGGCCGCCATTATGGAAATCATTGTGGGAGGTCTATATTCAGCAGTGAACGTCATATGGCTGAAAATGATGATGATGAAAGTTAAAGTAAGATGGTGAAACTCAGTCTAAGTATTCTAAAAACAGTTAAACGCATAGAAAGCCTTAGTTCTGTAGACGTTCGTTGTCCTTTGGCTTGCACCACACACAGTCAGTGCAGGGCTAACGGCGTACAAAAAACGAGAACCTCTGACATTAGACGCTGGAATTGCATCAGTGTTTAGTGCGATCGCGCCGTGGGAATCGGCACTAGACGTGTGCATGTCTCGGAGTGTGGAGACGGCTTTTGTTAAACTTAAGAAACTGTCACTTGATTGGTTTTGCGATGTAAGTAGATACATAAATAATAAATAAATAATATCTTTAGGACAAATCCACACAGCGCTATCCAGCCCCAAAGTAAGCAGTGTTATGGGTGCTAACTTAAAGGACATGCATGAAATGGAATCGGTTCTACACGTGGGCATGTCTCGGAGTTTGGGGACAGCTTTTGTAGAGCTAAGGGACTATTTCATAAAAGACTGTCACTTGATTGGTTTTGAACATATTATTTATGTTAACGTGACGATGTACGAACATGCATGAAATGGAATCTTCACTAGAAATTGTGTGTCTCGGAGTGTGGAGACGGCTTTTGTAGAGCTCAGAAACTGTCGCTTGATTGGTTTTGAGCATATTATGTTAACGTGACTGTGTAGGTACATTCATGAAGGAATCTGTCTGGAACATGTCTCGGAATATGGAGACGGCTTTTGTTGAACTAAGAAACTCTGTCACTTGATTGCTTTTGATGAACATGTTAATGTCGGCCGTTTGGTGTAGTGGTTCAGAGCGGACTACTATGCCGAGAGGTCCCGGGTTCGATTCCCGGCCGGGCAGAAATTGAAATGATGAATTTTAATTTCTGTGACGGGTCTGGGTGTTACTATGTATAATATGTATGTATTTAAAAAAAAAAAAAAAAAAAAAAAGGTATATAACTAATATATCCGTTAAGCTAGCACCCATAACACAAGCATTAAGTTGCTTACTTTGGGGCTAGCTAGCGCTGTGTGAAATTGTCAAAAAAAAAAAAAAATGTTACCGTGACGATGTAGGAACATGCATGAAACTGAATCGGCACTAGATAGACTTGTGTATGTTTCCGAGTATGGAGACGGCTTTTGTTGAGCTTATAGAGACTGTCACTTGATTGGTTCCAATTAACACGTTAACGTGACGATTTTCACATGCTTGTAACTATGAGACCTGGAGGGGAAAATAATATGCCTATGGCAGCTAAATATAAGTTTGAAAACCAGGATTGTAATTTCAGTTATTACAACCCACCTACGTCGCAGCATCAGCTTTTTCATTAGCATGACGACTACCTCTCTCCTCTCTTCATAAATAAATACAAAACAACTTCTAATTTATCAACTTCCATCAGATGATCCGTCTGCCCGTTTGCCTCCTGTCACATAAAAAAAATTCTACTACTGATCTTCATAAAATATTCATTTTTATTAGAAGCTACTGAACAGCAGTCACCCTAAAATATTAACCATTATTACTCTCACTGATCTCCTCTTCACCACAAAAAACACGAAATACAAAAAACCAGCTGACTATAATGTTTGGATATGAAGATTAGGGTGCCGGCCGTTTATGAAAAAGGGATTTCAGTAATTTATGATGCGCTGAAAGGCAGTCCCCTGGGCAGTTGTCACGGGAAGTGATTTAGAGCAACAAGGATGGAACAAAGAGCCGTTGCGTATCGCGTTCCGGAGCTGTGAATAATAATAGGTCCGGGTAAGGTAATGTGTAATTTGTCAACAGCTAGGGATTAGGATCTGTTTGTACAAAAGGCCTGTTTCTATTGAGTAAAAATATGTATCATTTAATCTTTCCGTTTCGTTGTAATATAATAATCATCATATCCGTCATAGGACGTCCACTGCTGAACATAGGCCTCCCCCAATGATTTCCATAATGATCGGTTGGTAGCGGCCTGTATCCAGCGCCTTCCTGCTTCCTTTATGAGCTCATCGGTTCACCTTGTGGGCCACCTCGTGTGGTGATAATACATAATTATGTATATCAATATTGAAGCATTATTGTATGCAATACAATAAAATAGAATCCAAAGAAGAGGTTCAGAGCCTTTTACCAACATCGTAAGGCATTGAAATCTAGTTTCTCATACATTGTAAGTAATTTCACAACAACTAAGTACGCTTACCAAATTGCTTACCCGTCAAGCGTATCGGTGTGAAAAATATCACATGACACCTAATACGCATATCAAGTGATTCGCGTTACTATCACTAGGTTACCGCACATAACAACTCTCCTAAGCTGGGAATATCTTACAAAAGGGTTTTTTCCTAGGAGTAGAAGGAAATACCTTATCTTAAAAACAGGTATCTTAAGGAATAAATAGTGAACTAAGTTTTTTAATATAGTTTTATTTAAATAATGATATTTCTAAGAGCCCATTGATTATTTGAAACATGAATATAAAATAAAATACCTACTTACATCTATTTTTGTAACAGAGAGTAAAATAATTAGTAAGTACTGACTCTATTAAGCCATTATTAACTGTTTGATCCATAAAAGTATAAAATAATATCAATATGGAACATTGGAATTTCTTGAAAGTTTAAATAATGTTTTTATACCTGAAAAGTATAGATATTTTTTTCAAACGAATCTAGATTTTATTTAATTACTAAACTATAAACCTAATAACCCAGCGAATCTCTATCGCTCCCACTATGCAAATAATAATCGATTTGCAACAATTAATAAATCAAACTCCTCCATACAGCAGAGCTGGGCTCTCACAGGCATTTGTCAGCCGAAATGCCAAGTTGATTCGGTGCGAATCTACGGACCGCTATGCCTATACTGCGACCGTGACGACTTGATACTTGAATGTTTGGTTTTAACTGTGCGCGTGAGTTTGTGATTTTTACGCAGAAATAGTTTTAGTAACTTCTTGTTAAATATTATTGAAGATCCTCATAATTACCAACATACCGCATTCAAGTATTCGAATTAAGTACTGTTGGTTAAAAAGATAAATAAATCCAGACCTAGGCCTCTTTAAATTATAGCCTCAACTTTAAAGCTGTTTAATTTAATTAATCGTAAAAGGCTCTTTCTATCGTCAATCGATTTCAAAGGTTTAAAATGCTAAAATGCCAACGCACACGATAGGTATTTATGATAAAATAAATTTGCATAAACATGAATGTTCACTTCAATTATTCGTCAGTTTCTCAACCACAACCCTCTCACTTTTTATGCCACCTAATTTCTGGTCGCAATACGTGGAAAAAAGAATGTTTCACCCATATCCTGTTATTTGTGACCGCAACTCGT